GTGCTAAGTGAAAGTGGGATTAGTATCACATGGTATACTCAATAGGAAGGTGTTCAACCTAAATAGGAAGCTAGTTAGTGCTCTTATAGACAATTTGAGAAGGTGAGTAGGGGAGACCACACGTGTGCACCGCCGTGCCGAGCCTTGGCCGAACGTGATGTTGCTGGCCACCTTTTGGAGCTTAGCACAACGTTCACATGGTCAAAGCAATAGTCAGCAATGGCACAACAGTTAAATGGGTGGGCGCAAAAGGGCAAATGAGTAAAACGTGTGGGTCTAACACTGCCAGCAGGCCAGGCACGCATTTACACTTCTACCCCTCACGGGACCCATCCAAGTTCATCCCAAAGGGTTGTGCCTCCTCTCCTTCCAGCAAAAGCCAACACTCCACCTTCTTCCTCATCACTCTCTCCACTAAGTTCTTGTTTTTGAGCTACTCTGCGATCTTCAGTCCGAGCTCCTTGCGTGCACAAGGGCTTGGGTGAGCAGGCCTTCGAAGCTCAGTCCGTCTGTGTACCTGCATGGGTAAGCGTTCCGCCACGACGATAACGATCAATACAACCTCGCCACCTTTGCTAGGTTAGCTTGTCGTTGATGAACAACCTCTCTCTAAGATTGGCATGTCCTTGAGAAAACCATAACCCAAAATTCAAAAACCTGATCCTAAATCCCAAACTTTAACCTCACCAAAGCTGTCTCACCGAAGTTGCAGAAGACGCCAGAGAAGAGGAAGAGAGAAGAGAAATGTCCCTGCGTCGTACAGGGGCGGATCCAGTATAGGTGTCCGGGTATTCCTAGGAATACCCAACGAACTTGCCAAACAATTATGCACGTATATATCGAGTATACAAATATATATATCAGTTGAAATTTTATTTTTTTATCATCTTCTTGCTATTCACATATGAAACAATGCAGCTTATCGGCTGTAACGCCCCGGCTCGGGAAGACGGCTAAGATCCACTCTACACGTTGAGTAGACCACACCTGCTAATTAACTCTCTTGCGCTTTCGTCCTCGCTTCTCACAAAAGGTTCGAACCAGAGTTAATTCCCTCTCAGGCTTTTAAGCTGGTTCGGCTCTGCTTTAGCTTTCGAGGTGGTACTAATTCTGCTGCTACAGTGTTTTCATCGATGCTACAGTTCTCTCATCACCCCTGTCGCTGCAGTGCTCGGCCATTTGGCCTAGCCCGTCAGACCGGCCCTAACTTGGCCCATTTAGCGGGGTCTCACATCGGCCTACTCTTAACACACTACACCAAAACTTCCTTTAAACCCATATAAACTGTTATTCGCCAACCGGTCAACTAGGATCTTTCTTCGTCCCCCAGTCACACATGGGTGCATGCATGGGCACCGTGTGCATCTATCACCCCTTATCTACACCTAATCCTCAAGTATCATTTAAATCTTAATCCACACTTGAACCTAAAGCTGACAACCACAATGACATGCATACGAACATAGACGTGATGGTGTGACGTGCAGCCAGCCCAACTTTAAAATCCTGGATCCACCACTGGCAGGGGCGGATCTACATGGTATGCTAGGTATGCACCGGCATACCCTGCAGTCCAGCCCATCTACATCAACCTATTTGTGAAAATATCTTGACGCCTCACCGTCCTCCATCCGTGCCTCATGAGTCACGACGATCCCAAGCACCGCACTGCCGCAGACCCACGCCACTTCGCCTGCCCTGCCTCACGACTTGCGAGTCACGATCCCATCCAAGCCGCCAAGTGCCGCACCTGTGCTTACTGTCCTCATCGTCCGGTCGTCAGTGTGATAACAAAGCCAATAGCCTAGCACCCACCAACAGCCTCAGATTTGGCCATGCCGGCAGCAGAGGCGGAGTTCGATCAGAGTCTCACCAAGCTTTACAATACAAAGGCTAAATGGTATTAATTAGGTCTAGATCGGGATTTGGGTAGAAGAACTACTTAATTGACAACTAGACCAAGAAGCTGAAATAATTCCACTCCTAGTACTCCGGCAAGCATATGCTTGCAAATCTGACAGGTAACAACTTTGGGTTTCTTGATTTGATCTTATTACTTTTCTAAGAAATTTTCCTAATTAATTACCTACATTAGTTTGTGTATGTCATGGAGACCAGCGAGATTACTTATCATTATTTGTGTATATCACCAAACATCAGTATCAGATATTCATATCATGTATGTTTTATAGTCGTAGCAGACTGCATCATGTGATTATATGAACTATGATTCTATCGTCCCAATCGCATATGATTTACATTGCTTTTTTTAGAATTTTCTACTTATATATGAAGAGAAGCAAAGACATTGCTTCTATTTTTTATAATTGAGAGACAATCATATTTGATATCTCTTAGAAAGCGTCGGCTTAAAAAGTTGGTCAAATAGTATGATTCTATCATCCCGATCGCATGGGATTTACATTGCATTTTTTTAGAATTGTTTACTTACATATGAAGAGAAGCGAAGACATTGCTTCTATTTTTAATAATCGAGACAATCATATTTGATATCTCTTAGAAAGCGTCGGCTTAGAAAGTTAGACAAATAGCATTATAAGTTTTTTATTCTCTTATAAAAGAGAATAAAAACTTACAATGCTATTTGTCTAACTATTTAAATTGTAATATGTGAAAGCTTCCAACTTAATCTTTAAATTTAAGACTTATCATATTATTTAGTGAATGTATACCGAGTTATGCTGCAAATTTTGTGATCTTTTATCGAATTGGTAAATGAGTTTACTGAACTGTATATGAAAAATTTTGTGTGGCCTACCCTTAGGTAAAATCTTAGATCCACCTCTCCACCAGTGTGGTAGGCTAGGAAGGAAATTTTCACCGGGTAGGCTAGGAAGGAAATTTTCACCGGGTAGGCTAGCACTATACCGTTGTTGAAAAACCATATGACTGAAAACCACGAACATAATTACGCCATTAGCATAACATCAAACATCAACGTGTACCAGCACCGGCCATCGTGACTCTCGCAGTGAGCACTCGGACCGGTCAGCACCCAGCACTTTGCAAGCTAAAACTCGCTAAGCCATCAGCACGAGCTGAGTTCTTCACATGCTCGAACTCGATGATGGTGAAAGCTACCCAGGTCAACGCCGCGTGCGCCCCCACAGGAGCGTTGAGAAAGGCAAATTCCCCATGCAATTTCCCAAACGAATCAATGCTACCGTGTACGAGTAAGAATACAAAGGAGCAAGGAATAAAGCAAAAAAAAGGCGAAAAGTAAACGGTGATGTCGGCGTTCGACGAGCACTACGGTCAACCGATGATCCATAGGGAAATACAGTACGTACTATGGGAATCCTTCTCTGTGTCCGCACAAAAAAAAAAGTCAACTCCCTGTTCGTTTGGCTTATAAATCATATTTTTTCAGTCAATGAACATTTTTTTCTCACAACAAATCAGTCAACAGTACTTCCAGCCACGACTTATCAACAAAGCGAACGGAGCACAACTCGATAGAATAACAGTTGGCACCACCCCTCTTACCCACCACAAAAATCTGGCTAAATAATGCTGGGGCAGGACGGAATAATCGATGGTTATTCTTGCTTTGCGATTCAAACAGTTCTTTATCGATCGTTGTGTACGAGTTTCCCGCGAGAAACTTGCAGATTTAATAGTATATCGTTGACATCAGGTATGTTTAGTTTAGTGGATCTAAAGTGCACGAACGACTGGACGAGGTAAGTTGCATAGGTAACTTCCAACGATACCATGTTGATACGTGGTACGTGCACATGACTCTGATGATACAACTACTAATCCACCCCTAGATTTGGAAAAAATAAAATCTGAGCAATGACTCGGAGGGAGGGGAGATAGATCCTAGGCAGCTATAGCCCATGGCCCATTGATAGAGGGAAGGCTGAAGCCAACGAAAGATTCAGAAGGCAATGGCTAAAAAATGTGAGCAATGACACGCATAAACAGATCAGATGTTCAGATCGGTCAGGTGAACAATTAAACAATGAACAGAAAATTTGCAGGTCAAGCAGACACCGCCAGCACGGCGGATACCCTCCTCATCCAAACTGCGGGCAGGGTGCGTACATCTGTAGGGCGGGAACATGGCAGTGTTTCAGAGATCTGAATAAACAACAGCGTTAACAGAGGAGAGCCGGCGCGCCAATTGCTATGCCTGGCTTTCTCGGCTTTGTTAATCCCAACGTTGCCCAGGTCAACTTGTTGAGCCTCCCCACTCGTCCAATAATCCATCCCCATGTAGGCAACTTTACGAAAGAGACGCCTCAACTTGTGCTTATTTGTGCTTAGAACCCCCCGATGGTTGACTACTTGATTTTCCAAGTTCCAACAAGATTGGAATGATACCCGATCATTGGTTAACCATTCCTACCTAGAAGTTGGAAGGTGTTCTTTGACTTTTAGCTGCAGAAGCAGAGCTAGAGCAAATTGGAACGGGTGTTTTGGATTCATAAATTTGTATATTATGGATGCATATATGGTGATTTTTTTTTTGTGTTTTGGCATGCCATCTAGACTTTACATAGATTAGCCTGAGTTTAGCTCAAACCCTCTTGCAAAACAACTACAATGCCATATGTTTGATTTTCTTCGTAGACGTATTCATTGAACTATCTAGATTGCGATGCGAGTCAAACTTTTCATAAAAACAAGGAGTCAGAGTATGCTCCCTTCACACATTTCACTACCTCTGTTTATGCAGCAAATTCAGCCTTTATAGGAGAACGAAGGACTAGTAGACCTTAATTTGTAGTGCCCTAAGGGTCTAAACCGGAAGAGCACCACAGTGATGTGACGCATGTGAACACCACCAAGACGAGACACGAGAGCGAATCCAGCACTCCGCCTTTAGAGATCAAAAAAGCACTCCGCCTTTAAACTAATCGACGACAACCGCCCGCGCTACCGCAACGCGCCCTCACCGTCCTCCTCTCCTCCCCGCAGTATAAAAGTTTCCTTCCGCCTCACATCTTCTCGTCAAACCCGATCCGTGGACAATGGCGAGCGCGCCCGGCGAGGTGCCGTCCCACTTCCTCTGCCCCATCTCGCTGCAGCTCATGCGGGAACCCGTCACGCTGCCAACCGGCATCTCCTACGACCGCGCCGCTATCTCCCGCTGGCTGGCCGCGCCCGCGCCCGCCGGCGGCCGCACCTGCCCGGTCACGCGCGTGCCGCTCCCGCCGCAGCCCCAGCTGACGCCCAACCACACCCTCCGCCGCCTCATCCACGCCTGGCTCGTGTCCCTCTCCCCCGAGGCGGAGGTCGACGAGGACGTGGCTGCGCTGCGGGGGCCCGTGCCCGGCGCCGAGGTGGCCGCGCTGCTGTCCGACGCGGCCGCGGCGAAGGTTGAGGCGCTCAAGAGGCTGCGGGAGCTGGTGGCCGAGTGCGAGGACAACCGGGCGGTTCTCGAGTCCCAGGACGGTGTGTTCGACGCCTTGTCTCGCGTCGTGAGCAGTGCCGATGCGTCCTCGACGGCGCGCGAGGAGGCGGTCGGGGTCCTTGCGTCGCTCCGGATCCCGGAGCTGGAGCTGGCCGCCGTCGTGGCCAGGCACAGCAACCTGGGGGAGGTACTCACGGCCGTCCTCCGCTCGCCGAACCAGAAGTCGCGCGCGAACGCCGCTCTGCTCGTTAGGTCCCTCTCGGAAGCGGCCTGGCCGGCCTGGGTCATTGGGCTGAGCCAGGACCTTCTCGCCGAGGTTGTCCGCGTGGTCCGCGACCGTGTCTCGACGCAGGCGACCAAGGCAGCGCTGCACGCCCTCGTGGCGCTCTGCCCCTACGGCCGGACCCGCGTCAAGATCGTGGGCGCGGGCGCGGTGCCGGCGATCGTGGACCTCCTGCTCGACGACCCCGAGAGGCGTGTCAACGAGATCGCGCTCGTGGCGCTGGACCGGCTGTGCACGTGCGCCGAGGGTCGCGCTGAGCTGGTCGCGCACGCGGCGGGGCTGGCCGTGGTGGGCAAGAAGGTGCTGCGGGTGTCGGAGGCGGCTAGCGAGCGGGCGGTGCGCGTGCTGCGCTCCGTGGCGCGCCACGCGGCGACGCCTGCCGTGCTGAAGGAGATGGCGCAGTCCGGCGTCGTGGCCAAGCTCTGCGCGGCGCTGCGGTCCGAGCAGTGCGGGGTGAGGACCAAGGAGAGGGCGCATGAGGTGCTCAAGCTGCACTCCAGGACCTGGAGGAGCTCGCCCTGCCTGTCTCCAAAATTTTTGGAGCTCTACCTTTCATGACGATAGGGCTTCTTTTTCCTGTTGATTCATTCTTTCAATCTAGGCATCAGATTGTGCCTGCGGAAGAGGGACACATCTGAGGTGATTTCTTTTTGCTTGGTTACGGAATTAGTGTGGGATGATGTAATCTTCTTGATCATCTGTTCATCAGTTCAGCGCACCTGATTTGTGCCAAGTTGTTGAGATGGAGAATACGTTTCGTATTCACTGAACGAAGAATCAAGTGCTGATAAAATCAAGAAAGGAGTCGCAGGATGAAAATGGAAAAGCTAAATCATACTCGAGCATTTCATGCGCGATCCATGCTCCATTTTCCATGGACCTGATTTGCACCAAGACCTGCGTTGAGGTGGACTTCTCCACTTCCGACATAATCGCTCTGTTAAACTAAGATGCAAATTCCATATGTTTGGTCCTTCGGTTAACATACAAAATGTGAACGAAAATGGTTTAGGGAGAATTAAACTATATTAGCTAACTCAGAAAAAAGCATTAGTAGATAAGCACGTAAGCTATTAATTGATGATTGCTATGACCGGGTACTAAAGCTAATTAGGCTACATATTGTGTGGTATTGCAAATCCCATTAATATTCGCAAGCCAATGTACTGAATTTGAACTAAATATTTTTCATTGGAGATAGAAATAGCTGGTCAAAGATGAAAACGAAATTGCTGCTACTACCAAAAATGATAACACACACATACAAAAAGAAAAGAATCAGGTACTCATGTCGTACTAACGCTGAAATGTTGAATTTATATGTATAATATGTTAAGATAGATTTAGCTATTAGATCTTTTTTTTATCACAAAACATGTATTCGGATTTCTAGTATATATGTGTTGTTTTCCTCAAGTTAGTTCAGGTATTGTTTCTGAAAATAATTACAAGGATCCAAGTATTGCAACTCCAATTGATTTATCAGGTAATAATATGAAAGATCCATCTTTTATCAAGCTTGGTGCCTTTTATATTGACGTGAAACGTGACAAGGAAGAGGATGATAGCATCCTATTATGCATGCTAATTTCTAAAGGAATTCACCTGTTCAAGAAAGCATAGAAATCAAATAAATATATCAATAATGGTTCTATGCTTACTGAGATGGAAGATATGCCACTTGAATAATTTTGGGCCTGATATGATTGTGCTATCACGAAGCATGCAAAATTAGTCAATGGACGTCACGTTATCTTGTGTGTGGTTAGTTTTCTAGCCGGAATATTTTAATAGAACTAGATAAATGCAGGATGACAAATTTGATCAATTTAAAGATAATAAAAAAGTAATAAACGATTTTGTATTGGGAACTCTAAACTATTTTTCAATTCGAACCATATTCCCTTTCTATGCACTTCCCCGCATCATTTTCCTCTTTTTCCACTCTTGACGATCATATAGGACATAAGAGATATTAATGTGGAAAAACAAAGATAACTAAAATATGAAATTAAACACCGGAAGATTATGGCTATGTTCGGCTTGGAAAGAAGCCGGCTTGTTTAGCTTATTTTTCCAGCCGGAGCAGTGGTTTTCTCTCACAACATTCCAGCATGAACAATATTTTTCAGCATGAACAGTGTTTTTTAATCCTAGCCGAACACTCCCTATACTAATGGTGAATGGAGACTATCATTTGAGGACCGTGGCATTTTCATTCTCCGATTGTTTCTACGGCCTGTTCGCTAGGTCGTATTTGGCTTATAAGCTATGGCTTATCAGCCAACGAATAATATTTTTCTTTCACACCAAATCAATCAACAGTACTTTCAACAATGGCTTATAAGTCAAACAATCCCAAACGAACAGGGCGCTAGTTCTTGAGCACCAATAGCCTGGGCTTATAGTTCATGAGCAGCACATGTCTGTGCTTGTTTTTTAGCTGCCCGAAGTGACCAAGACTCGCAGTCGCACTAGCCGGTGGAGCCTTCACTCGATCAGGATCGGCGCTCGGTGGAAGTCGGAACCGCAGAAGCCAGAAACAGTGGAATACTGGAATTGAATGACAGCCACAGACGCAACGCAGATGGTCTTCCAAATCAGCATGTGTGTCCTTTTGGGGCCTGGGCTTCCATCAGACTAACATATGGCCCAATCGGCCCAGTCGGTCCAGTTCGCTCGTCGCATCGTCCGCAAACTGCAACGACTCATCGTCTTCTTCGTCGCAAACAGACATCGGGCCGTCAGGAACAGGGGGTTCACCGGAGGGTAGGTCTGGCGGCCGCCAGAGCTCAACATATTGTTGGATCCGCCCCTGGTTCTACCCCGACGACGGCGTCCCGCCTCCACATATTCGTGAACGCCCCCGTCAGGCCGTCAGGAACCGGAGCCGCCGGCCGGTGCCCCGCGCTAAGATGCAACGCGTTCGCTTTTGCCGGAGGCCCTTCCGCTACGCGCTGCAACTGCTGGTGGAAGCCAAGGCGCGGGCGGCGTCGCACGAGGGGCGCGGGAGGGACGGAGGGGTGAGCGGGGCAAAGCGAGAACGCGCATCCGGTTACCTTTCGTATTCCTAGTGGTGTTGATCGATAGGCTCGAAATTGTATCAAACTCGAGTTCGGGCGCGCACAAAAAGGGAGTTTGACATCGGGCGCGCACAGGAAAATCCGTTGGACGAAACCCGTCCGTGTATTTTTAAGCAGTAGTACTGTCTGTTCTAAATTATAGGGCGTTTTAATTTTTTTAATTCATAATTTTTACTATTGATATTGCTATTGTATGGGCATCCGTCCCGTCTGGACGGACCCCCACACGACATGACCGACCATGCCTCGCTCTGCTCGTCCGCGTCCTCCTCCCGCTTCTCCACCCTACTCGACCGAACGTGCCTCGCTCTGCTCGCCCGCACCTCCTCCCGCTCCTCCACACTCCCGCTGCTGGCACACAGCGCTCGCGCGCCGCCGCCCCTCCCTCCCTCCCTCCTTCCATTCGCAACCTCCATGCCATCGGAGAGAAGGGCGATGGCAGTGGCTTCCGACGAACCTCCCTTCCCTCCCTCCGCGACCTCCATGCCACCGGAGAGGAGGGCGGCGGCTTCCGGCGAGCCACCCCTCCCTCCCTCTGCGACCTCCATGCCACCGGAGAGGAGGGTGACGGCGGCGGCTTCCGGCGAGGTAGGTGGATCTGAGCCCTCCTCCTCCACCTCCTCCTATTGATCTGAGCTCTCCTCCTCCTCCTCCTTCTCATCCTCCTCCTCCACCTCTGGATCTGGATCTGAGGGACGCCGCGGTAGCTAGGGTTCTGGTGAGCTCTGTTGCAGTAGCCTTGTTTTGCTGTTGCACAAAGTAATATTCCTTTGTTGCATTAGCCTCTTTTTTTTGATGTTGGATCTCGCATTGCGCTTTGTTTCTGTTGTTGCAGTATCGTTATTTTGCTGTTGCAACAAGATTTTTTCTTTGTTGCATTAGTCTTTTTTTCTGATGTTGCATCTCGCATTGTGCTTTGTTTCTTGTTGTTGCAGTAGCTTTGTTTTGTTGTTGCAACAAGTAATTTTTCTTTGTTGCATTAATCTTTTTTTTTCTGATGTTGATTTCTCGCATTTGCGCTTTTGTTCTGTTTTTGTTGCAGTAGCCTTGTTACGGTGTTGCAACAAGTAATATTTTTTGTTGCATTAGTTTCTTTTTTCTAATGTTGCATCTTATATTGCAGTAGCTTTGTTCTGTTGTTGTAGTCGCTTTATTCTAATGTTGCAGTAGACTTGTTCTGATGTTGCATCTCGCATTGCTTTTTGTTTCATGTTGCAAACAAGTAATACTTTCTGATGGGAGCACGATGAGGATGCCACGCACCTAGCGTGGGCGCGGCGGGGGGATGGGCGGCGTGATGGGATGGCGGGGGGACGGGCGGCGCGGTGGGATGGCGGCGCCTGCAGGACGAAACGAGTCTACTGTTTCGTGGGGCGGCGGGGCGCTAGGTGCTCTGTTGTTTTGGTCGGGGATCGAAACGAGTCTGTTGTTCCGGGGGCGGCGGGGGCGTGGTTTCGTGCGTGGGGGCGGGACACTCGGACGGGGACAGAGGTGCATCCGGACGTGCCCCTGAATTCGGGCGTCCGGGAGCTAGGAGCGCCGTTTTACTATGCGGCTAAATATATATTATGTCTAGATATATAGCAAATGCTATGAATCTAAAAATGCCAAAATATCTTATAATTTGGGATAGAGAAAGCAACAGATAACAGATGTGTGAGATGGTTTCATAATTAGCCCTTTCTTTATTTGATCTAGAGTCGGACACGCATGGTTGTGTCGAGGCAGGTCAGGGCTGACGCATACATGGTCGAGTCAGGGTGCTTTTGTGCGCACCAAGTTGGAGTTGGACCGTCGTGACTGCGCCCATATATAAGGCTAAGGTTTGGCCTTGTAATAGATTCGGACTTGCTAACACCCAGACATCCGATCTAAAGGGCTAGCATGGAACGACGCCACATGCGCAAGAGAAATGGAGCCCGCACTCGCCTATTTTCTCACGCCCCACCGCGTGGGCCCTCATGCCTGCACTCGGTTTCTCACGCCCCTGTCTGCGCCCACTCGATGGCGCCCCAGCCAGTGACGGATCCAGGATTCAAAACCTAAGAGGCCAAACTTATTGACTTTAAGCTAATCAGTACAATTAATATATATTGTTGTAATTTTTATAATAGGGTTTGAAGGCATGTTAGAAAAACTTGAGGGGCCACATAGATCCGCCACTGGCCCCAGTAGTGGGCCCGCGCTGCCCGGACGTCACCCAACACCTGCAGTAGGTGGCTGCAACAAGTGAGTCACATTACAACATGTGCAACTCCCAGATCGAGTTTTGCAACACCCAGATGAAATACTTGCAACATACGTCTAAAATAGCTGAAATACTTGTAACATATGTTTGAAACAATTGCAAAACACCTGAAAAACACTTAGAAGCCACTGCAAACATATGCGACATCCAGATGAAACACTTGCAACATATATATGAAACACTTGAAAGACTTGAAACATACGCTACAACATGCATATATATGCAAC